AACTTTCATTTACGTAATACTATTTTGCCCTGTGCTGACAGCACTCATAATTTTTTTTACATATATTATTTCCTTAAAACTAAAAATTTGTAACATTTTTTTGTAATATTGATAACACTTTCTGTACTATAGACAAAAAAAGGAAATGTATGCATCAGAATGATTTTTAATTTTTTTTCTTTGTTTCCGTTGCTTTAGATACGGAATTTGAATTGTTTTTATTTTCTTTTTAAACAAATTTTAAAGTTTATAAAGAATAATAAACAAAAGAAAATTTACCTTGTAAATCCGTCTTCCTTGTATTCCTAAGGGATCTTGATCAACAGCAATGATTTTTCTATTTTGTAAAATTGCTTTATACTCAGGCCTTATTGTTCGAAGGTCGACTGACATGAGGAGAGGTGCAGCAAGGATGGCCCATATCGCCATTTGTGCTTTGCTTTGCTCATAACTCAGGCCGAAATTACCTATAATTAGCTGAAAAGGTCAAAACAAAACTAAGTAAATTACTGCAAATTTATTAATTTCTTAGTATTACTGCGAATATAAATATACAAAAGAATTTGACTTCGTAATTGGTTTTTATGCGCCTCCTTAAAATTCGTTTCAGATTTTAGAAAACTTGTACTTGTAGGTACTTGAAATCAGTTTACGTTTCTTTAAAATTAATTGCCATACCTTGACCCAAACATAAGGTTAATGATCATGTAGAAATTGTATTTCTTAAAATTTAATTTTGTTAAAAAAATCAGGGCAATGATTCAAATGTCTTTTGCGCATCGGCTGCTATCAAGTCGAGGATGATTAGTTTTATTGGAGAAGTTGAACTAGAAAGGTTTCAAATACATACATTATGCCAAAATTGATTGGATTTATTTTCATTTTCAATCTGGACGTAAAGCCGGCTAATTATACAAATTTTTGCACATTGTTCATCATATTTTTCATCTTTTAAAGTAAAAAACGCATTTTAAGATTTTTCTCAAACGGAAATCATTAGTTCTAAATTTTAATTTTTTTTTACATATTATTTTGAATTTAAAGTTTTCATAAAAACAGATAAAAAGATTACCAGCACATATTTATGTTTAATTCTTTGATAAAATTTAACTGAAAAGTGAAATTTATTCTTCAGTAAGCTTTAGAAAACATCATTTTTTCATGGACATTATATTTCCTCTACGCCTTGAGAAGTTCACTGAAAAAGTAATAATTCCTGAAATAGTGCCATTATGTACTAGGCACATTTCATTGGTAGTTACGAAATAGAGGCCAGAACAATGAAAATAGTAAAACTAGAACATGCACTGAATAAAAAGAACAACTATTCATATACATTATTATCGATATGTATAAGTTACATTATTAATATAAGTAGGTACATACTTCATAAGTAGAGTAAGAAAAACTTCAAGGAAGTAAAACGAGCATTTAGTTTTTAGATGCTTTTTACATTACAATGAACGTATGACGTGGTTTTACAATTTAATTAAAGGAGTATAAAACAATTTCACATACAAGTACATCTTCCATAGATGGAAATACCATTCTAATTAGCACATACATAAAATACATTAAAATATGATGATCTTTATATGATTAATTGTAAGTTCATTTTTTTAAATGACTGTATTACATACAGACAAATCAAATTTAAAAGAGAAACAAATAGAATTTTGCAAATGAAATTTATACATAATGACTTTATTATCGTCTTACGGTAGTCAGTTCAAAGATTAATTAGATATGCACCTTCACTCATTATCCTATCTTGCGTCAATTTTTGCATTTCCCTAAAATTAGAATGTAATACCTATAATATAATCCAGGAACTAATCTTAACTAGGTTTATCTCTGCCTTTCTTTACTCCTATTCCTGTTTCTAATTTTTATTTAACTAACCACAGAAGTTCCCTATTACCCTGTCTCTCCTTTTTCTCATTGACATTCATAGCGCTCTTAAGCATTCCAACTGCTTCTAATACCTTTTCTGTCTATAACATTTCATTTCATATTAATGTACAGAGCCGTACTCGAAACATATACCTTCCTTCCTTCTTCTTGCACTATCCTTTATTTTATACTTCCATCTCTTCTTCCATCCTGAATTACCTGACTTTCTAAATATGGAAAATTAGCAAATTCCTTTTTTAATTTTTCGTCTCTTATTTTGATAATAATTCTTACTCAACTTTTACCCCTCCTTACATACCAATAATTTTGTTTAATTTTTTGTATTCAAATCGTACCCTTTTGTAAAAACCAATGACTTTATGGTAATAAGAATTTTTATTTTAATAAATAAAGTTGTAGAATGAATAAATTAATACATATTTCATTAGGTTGAGATACTTTTAATTTCCTAATATTTAATGCTGTATTGTGTAAAAATTGTTAAATACTTCCAATTCTAACAGCAAAATTTTCTGACTAATTTTAGGATAATAGTACGTACTTATGCAAAAAAATCTCAAATGATCTTGAAATTAATTAAAAAGGAAAAACATCAACTGATTTATTCGATAATGAGGCTACAAAAGTCTTCAAAAGAAAGCAAAAATCAATAAAAAGGCCAAATGTGTTTAGGAAAACCCAGGATCAGCATAAGATTAAGATCAGAAGACATACTAGGAGTATTTATTTGTTTTCATTACTGTGAGATAATTTTATGTTTTCGATTTTTTTTGTAAATATTTATGGGATAAATTTTTAAAACTCCTAACACTATTTAGATTTTTTGCAACAACACATAAATATTTAAAAGAACTTGCATACATGTAGATTCAGTTTTTAACTCTTGATTTTCGTTCAAAAAAGTGGTCTACTAAAATTCGATTGCACGAGGTCACAATTCAATGTACGTACAACAAAACCATTAAGTAAACTTGCAATTACAATTTTAAATACGGTCATGACTTTGCTAAAGAAACTTCCGAATAGCCAACTTTTATTTTTCTACTAATACAATTAATGTCTTTTATGCTCGAACAATGACCTGATTATTTTTTGTTTGTAAAATTTGTTACTCACGAAATAAATTTTAATAAAGGATGCATAATTAAACAAAAGTGAAATTTTCGTTTGCTTTAAGTCTTGTTTAAATAATCTGTTATAATAAAAGGCAAAAGTGAAACGTGTAAAACGAAAGCGAAACTGTTCCGATGATTTATTATTTATAACTTACCAAAAAGGAATTAAAGATCAAGGTGTGCTATAAATGTTTCAGAATGAATAAAATACAACAGTTGTTTAAGTACAACAGCCATGAAATGTTGGGTAATGGCAAGAAGACGAAATAATGACTACAATATTCTAGAAAATTTGTTTAATATAATGAATAATTTTGAATATTTTATTTATTTGTTTAGCTACCTACCATAGTTAAAAAATTTTGTTCCAAATCAATGTGAATGCAACATTCTGAAGAATTTGTTTATTTGTTTACTATATTGTCCCATTTAGCCGTGTACAATGCGATATTGATATGCAGACGTACATCTTTGACGCCTTTTCCATTAATTTTTGTAACCTTTTACCTTGAAATGTTCTTTGTAAATAAAAATATATTGGATGAATTTTGATTTTAAAAAAGGAATAGATTTTAGGATGTTGTGAAACAACGTAATAATCTAATATTTCAAAAGAGTAATCAACATTAAATTATGATAGATACCTATTACATAAAGCAGTTAATTAGAAAGAACAGTTTTAATATTACAATACCAACAGTAATTAATAATAGTGTTAAATGAATATTACATAATATATTTCACAAAGGAAGATATAGTAATTAGCATTTAATTATATAGTATTAAAATCGTTATTTCAAAAAGCTGACATGTCTACGTACGTCTTTTAGAATTGCAAAATAAGCTAAAGATTGTCAACAGACATGCAATGCACTTTGTAAACACTCATTACTCATTGCTCGGTATACGTAAGCTTTCATTATGAGAAATATGTAATAAAATTGTATTTCAAACATATAAAAGATTTATTTATTTAAAATTAAAATTTTTTTCAATTAAGGATATTAAAACTTTGTTACTATTCATAAAGGTATACAATGTTACACAAGCTAGAAAACGAATAAGAAATTATGTGTATTTGAAAAGAAGCAATTCATAAAAACATTGGTTTTAAATTTTTTGAGGTGGATAAATGGATATAGCAGTATTAGTATCTAACAAGGAGGACTTAGAGATAATACTGACAAAACAGTACTGTACGAAAATAAATAAAAGTAAAACAAAAATACTGGTATGCAAGGGAAGAAAAAGTAGGGATAGAGCGAATATAAACTTAGGAGATGAAAAATTAGAAGAAGTGGCTTATTTTAGATATCTAGGAAGTCAGATAAGTCAGGACGGAAGAAGTAGTAGGGATTTAAAGCAGAGGATAGCGCAGGATCATGTCGCCTTTAATAAAAAGAAGTCACTCCTATGCTTGCGAATGGTTAATTTAGAAATTCTAGAAAGGTTGTTAAAGGTGTGTTTTTGGAGAGCGGCGTTGTACGGGTGCGAAACATGGACAGTGGGCGCGGTGGAAAAGAAAAGGTTAGAAGCGTTAGAAATGTGGTGTTATAGGCGGATGATGAGGATAACGTAGATAGAAAAGGTTAGAAGCGAAGAGGTATTAGACAGAATAGAACAGAAGACTCTATGAAAATCAATAAGAAATAGGCGAGATAGGTTGGTAGGACACCTTCTCAGGCACGAAGGTCTAGTCGGAGATATATTAGAGGCAGAAACAGGAGTTAGGAGGGGTAGAGGTAGACCTAGGTTAGATTACTGTTCGCAAATAGTTAAGGATGTGGGTTGTTCTAGTTTGAGGGAAATGCGAAGTTTAGCTTAGCATAGGAAAAAGTAGAGGTACGTGTCCAACCAGTCTTAGGACTGACGACCTTATGATGATGATGGGTAAATGGAATACTTGACCCCACTACTGCCCATCCCTTCAAATAGTTGCATTACTGCTTGAAAGAGAAATTATACAACAGCAGTGCTGTCTGGGTCATCTTTCAAGATAATAATTTAATAAGTGCATCCAAAAGTACCTCAACCGAATTCTTATACTAACATTTACATACATGTAGAAGGGCAACAAAAATTGTAATTTTTTTTATATTATGACAAATATCATCAGTGCTTTCTAATCCTTCAGTTGCTCGTTTTACTCTCTTATTTCTCTATTTCGTGACCCTTCTTTTTAAAAACAAATTTAGCTTTATCCTGACATACAGGATATTACGTATAGTATGTTTGGACGGATTTTTCATTAATTACCCTAAAATTAACGGATAGACAGGAAGCAACAAGGAGATTAGTCGGGCAAATGCCTTAAAAATCGAGAACGATAGGAAATTTTGATTTTATTTTTAATTAGGACATTCTTGACAGTTTTATGGAAACTGATGATTTTCCAACAATTCTATTATCAAATATGCAATAAAATAAATAGTAAGATTATTTAAATGA